TTGGTTTTTTGAGACAGGGTCTCACTATGTAGTTGAGACTGAACTGGAACTCACTATGTAGCCCAGGCTGGTCTCGAACTCACAGCGATCCTCCTGCCTCAGCCTCCTGAGTGCTGGGATTACAGGCATGCACCACCACGTCCCGGCTTAGTACATCTATTCTTAATTAGTCATAAAAAACAACTTGTAGCAAAATGAACAGAACTGAAGGATATTATGTTAAGTAAAATAAGCCAGATACTGGAAGTGAAACTATGGAATCAAGGAGCTGAGTGCTACAATGAAACTTATGAAACACTAATGAAAGAAATTTTGTAACACAAAATTTAGAAAGACTGTCCATGTTTATGGTTTAGAAGAACTAATATTATTAAATGATATACTACCAAGATGATATACAGATTCAATGCAGTCCCCAACAAAATACCAATGACATTCTTCACATAGCTACAAATTTTAAAGTTCATATAGAAGCACAAAGACCATGAAGAGCCAAAGCAATCTTGAACAAAATGGAAAACCTGGAGGCATCACAATAGCTGATTTCAAGACATACTACAGAGCCACAATAATCAAAACTACATGGTATTCACATAAAAACAGACCATGGAACAAAATGGAGATCCTAAAAATAAACTCATGCACCCACAATCACCTGATTCTTTTTTTTTTTCCTCACTGAATTTACTGGTACTTTTTAGGTAGACAGTACAGTTACATTTATCATTGGGATCTTGTACTTTTACACGACAGATCTTGGTTCTCATTTTTCCCCATACCCCTGCCCTCCCTTCACCCCCACCACCCTTCCCTATTTACAAAAACTTTGTTTCCATTCTTTTGTTTTCGTAAATTTTTTCTTTTCCCTTATTTTCTTTCCCCTACCCTTCCCACTTCCCCTACACCTTTAGCTCTTTTCTTCCTATTTCATGTTGTCAATTATACCATTTGGATCTTATTTAAACTTTAAGTTTTTCCCACACCTGATTCTTGATAAATGCACCAAAAACACACATCCAAGAAAAGGCTGCCTTTTAATAAATGCTACTGGGGAAACTGGATAGTAATATGCAGAAGAAACACAACCCCTATTTCTCACCCATTTCAAAAGTGAACTCAAAATAGGTCAAAGACTGAACTACAAACCCTAAAATTTGAAATTACTAAACATGGAGGAAACACTTCAAGACATTGATATATGCAGTGCTTTTGCCAAAGAGAACCCTAAAAGCATAGGGAAAAAAAGCAAAAACGGACAGATGAGACTATATCAAACTCAAAACCTTCACACACAGCAAAGGAAATAATCAACAGAGTGAAGAGACAACCTACAGGATGCGAGAAAATGTCCGCCAAGTATACATCTGACAGACTGTTAATACCCAGAATATATAAAGAACTGAAGATACTCAAAAGAAAACTCCAAGTAATCCAGACAGGGGATATAACTAAGTGGCAGAGCATATGCCTTAGTGTATTCAAGACTCTAGGTTTAATCCTCAACACTATCTTCACCAAAACAATAACAATACAACATATAAATTCAGTTTTAAAATGGGTGATCTGAATGGATGCTTCTTCAAAGAAGAAACACAAATAACCAACACATACATTAAAAAATGCTCAGTATCATTAGCTGTCAGGGAAATAAAAAATAAAAACTGCAGGGCCAGAGATTTGGCTCAGTAGTTCTGCTGCCTGCCTCGTAAGCCTAAAGTCCTGAGTTTGATCCCTGGTACCACAAAAATTAAAAATAAATACATAAATAAATACTGCAATGAAATACCATCTTGCCCCATTGAGAATAGCTATTATGAAAAATAAAAAACAAAATAACAACTAAAAAAATAGCAATGCTTATACATTGTTGGTGGGAACATAAATGAGTATAGCCATTGTGGACAACAGTATGGATATTCCTCAAAAAACTAAAAACAGATGTAGTAGATGATCCAGCTATTCCACTTCTGGATACATTATCTGAAGAAAATTAAATCAGCACATAAAAGAACTAGTTCTATGCCCATGTTTACAGTGGTACTATACACAAGAGCTAGAACATGGCATCAGCCTAGGAACCCATCAATGGATGAACAAAGAAAATAAAAGAATAAAATCCCATAATCTGCAGCAAAATGTTTAAAACTAGAGATTATGTTAAGTAAAATAAGCCATATATAGACAAACAAGTACTACCTAAGTACTTCATGCACTCTTTCATATGTAGAAACTAAAATAATGCTGACCTGGTAGCAGAAAGTGATTACTACAGATCAGGAAGAGTACGGGGCTTGGACTGAAAAAAGGGTAGTTGTCTTTGATCAGCACACATTGTAGCATATATGGAACTATTTCACTGTATTCCACTAATATGAAAATTAATACCTGTTAATGAAAAAACATTTAACAGATTCTATCATTAAAAATTAAAAAAGAAATCAAGAGCTGGGGATTTAGCTCAGCAGTTTGGTGGCCTGCCTTGCAAGAGCAAGGACCCGAGTTCAATCTCTGGTAACAAAAAAAAAATAAAAAGAAAGAAATCAAGGGACTACAAATGAAGACAACTACCACTTTAAACCCACTAAGTTGGCAAATACTAAGAAATGTACAAACCAACGAAAGGCTACTTCACTGAAAACTCTAGTACTGTAAGTTAAACCATTTTTGTAAAAACAATTTAACATTTCATGAAACTGAACATAGTCTGCAACCCACTGCCACATTTATATATTTATTATACCTTTGCTCCAGAAGACAGGACAAGAAATGTTCTTAGAGGTAAGGTTTGCATTACTAAGAACTGGAAAAAACCCAAATGTCCAACTACTGCAGAATGGAAACAAGTGGTGTGTTCTTACAGAATTCTACACAACGGTATAAATTAATTAACCACAGCTATAAACAACATGAATAAAAATAAAACAAAAAAGCAAATCCAAGATGAGTATTTAGAACTACACCATTTTTTTCTTTTTTGGTACTGGGGATCAAACTCAGGCCCTTGTGCTTGTGAGGCAGGCAGCGGCACCGAGTCAAATCCCTGGCCCTTAAACCATTTTTTAAAAGCTGGAAAACCAACACAAATATAATAAATATAACTTTTAAAAAAGTAGCAGTAAGCAAATATCATACTTTCAGGAGGCAAAGATGACTGAAGGTTAAGATGAGAGAGGCAAATCTAAGTGGACGCCAGTTAGTGATAATGGTAGGCTCCTTGGGTTGATTAGGGGAAGGTGATGTCTTAAATACTCCCTAATATGCTTTGTAACTCCAAACTTTAAGTATATGTGTATAGATACATGTATACATTTCTCCATTCTATATATGAAATATCACATTTAAAAAATGGGAAAAATATGACTAAAATATGCTAGTGGATATTCACTGCAATGGGTACTAAATCTCCAGCATAATACTTACTGGTCAAGGGTCTTATAATAAATGTCCAGATCCTTGTTCACAAGCTCTGTAGTTCTCATGACAATCATCATTTCTCTATACTTCTCTTCAGCATCCCGAAACTGAGGTTCTCGGAGTTCTTTCTTAAAACGAATAATTTCTTCCTCATATCCTTTCTGTCGCCCTAATGCCAAATCACGATTTCTTTTTATATCGTCTAGATTCACTTTTAACTTCTGATGTTCACTGTAAAGGGAAAGTGACAAATTCAGACCCATTTTTTAGCTTTTATCAATCTAAAGTGGAAAAGTCATCATAGACAAGGGTCATTCTCTCTAGCAATCAGTACGTGGTAACAGAGTCTTTCCTTGATTTTTAAGGTTTCAGTACTAAAGAAAATCCTCAATTTCTACAGCAGGTAAGTTTCTAAACAACTAATTCTTACATGCTGAATAAAGAACCCTCATACTCTGGGAGCACTGAGAAAGTTCGTGACTTTAAGACACTGATTAACCTAAGCACTGATGGGTATTAGTATTACAAATTCACACACACACACACACACACACACACACAAACATACAAACTCACAAGCTTTCATGAACTGAGGATGCACAATTACCAAGACTGAGAATCTACTGAGTAACATGGTTTTGCTCATGATATATGACAATGCAATTTTTATATGAACTAAATATGAATATCTAGTAATTTCTGTTAAGAATTTGATTTTTCTATGAAAATAAAATTTCTCTTGCACAAGTATAAAAATATTAATAATGACTAAGAAATAAACAAAATTTTGACAATTTGGCAGATTACCCAGACTTTATGCTTTGCAAGTCTTTATTTAGCATTTATTAAGTATCCTCTTATGTCCTACACATTGCTCTTAAGTTTATGAACATTCATACAAAGTTGACCTGTTATATTCTAATTGGAGGTTTGGAAAAGAATAGATATATTTAGCGTTCTGAATGAATGTTATAAGCATTTTAAGTACTGATCACAAAAATATTTTTTTAATTTGTAATTTGATCTTTAGTAGCAAAGAATAAATTATTTCATTTCAAAACGTTTTTTTTCTAAGAGCTTTACTTCTCCAACTTCTTGGAGAGAGCACTAACATAAAGTTACAGAGCAGAGACATGGACAATGATGGGATGGTTGGAGTCACATTTTTCGATTTCATCACAACTTCCTCTGATTTTTCTAGGTTTTATGTCCAAATGCATAAAAAAATGAAAAGGCTAATGATGACAAGCTCTTGTAGTTACCAAGTCTGATTTCCTTGATATAGGAAAGAGATTTTATTTATTTTTTGGGAGGGGTACCAGGGATCGAACTTAGATCCTTGCACTTGCAAGTAAGGTGGCAGAACCATTGAGTTAAATCCCTGGCCCATGAAAGAGATTTTAAATAGCTAAACCAACAGTATTACACTAACACAGATTAACCATTTCTTTGGTTTTAAATGTTAAATTAAAACTTCACTTTTACTGTATCTGTAAGAAAATCCTAGGCATTCTTTGACCCAGATTTCTCTATAAATTCAAGAAGACCAATAAAAAAATGCAGACGGGTTGAATGAATGAGATTGGGTCTGAACCAGCTGAAGTGGTTTAATATCTAAGTATGCGGCTAATACAGTCTTTTATTCTAGCTGAAAGACTTGGCATCAACCAGCTTCTCAGAGGCAACTAAGAAAAACAGGAATAGGCTGCAAGGTGGACTCTAGGCTGAGAACCCCTGCAGGATCCTGGCATCCAGGTGAAGCGGGAGCAGGAGGTGGTGCTGGGAAGGGTGGAGGGGTGGCTGCTTCCCTCAGGGGCGTCTGCCCAGACACTAAGGTTTCCAGCCCTCCTCATGCCTCACTGCTGAAGCAGGGCAGTTCCTCTGTTTACAGAGAAGCCTTTTCGTCATCCTTCAGTCCTAAGAGTGTGGGAAAGACCTCGAATCTGATGAAAATGAATCTGGTTTCTACTGGGGAATGGCAAGTCATTCAAAAAACTCTCAAGGCCTCAAAAAAAAGAGGAACAAAATCTTTTCTGCTGTACAAGGAAGGTAGGAACTACAGAAAATATCAATAAAATCAGATGAAGAAACAATCTGGCTAATCGTTTTTTTTGAAACAGGTTCTGACTATGTAGTTGAGACTGACCTGGAACTCACTATGTAGCCCAGGCTGAACTCGAACTCACAGCAATCCTCCTGCCTCAGCCTCCAGAGTGCTGGGATTACAGGTGTACGCCACCACTCCCGGCTTGGCTAATCTTTATTAATAAGAAAAGAAAAAAGCTTTGGTGGGCACAAAATCATTAACTGGGACAAACTGTCTCCACTGGCAAACTGCTCTAGCAATCACTCCTCTAGCAATACTACACAGGGTACAAGCTCTGACCCAGAACAGGTTCATGGCTGTATTTTCTTTGTGATCATCATCACTATTCTGTGCAGCAGACGAGAAGTCTGGGGGTGTGGCATATTTAATACTGAGTAAAAGCCAGGCATGGTGATGCAGTCCTGTAATACCACGTAGGAGGCTGAGGCAGAAGATCACTGTGAGTTCCAGGCCGGCCTCAACTACATAGCAAGACTCTGTCTAAAAAAACAAAAATCAGTAATACTGAGCAATTACTGTCCATCACCCAGGGTGATCATCAATTCTATGTCAATTCTTCAGCAATTCAACTTCTAAGGCCATGAAATGTATTTATGTATCTGTCCATCTTCCTGTGAATCTCAAGGGATACTAAACTACAGCCTATTTTATAAAACAGGTATTTAGTGTCTTCACACTATAATAAAGATTTGCACTTAAAGACTTTTCTTACAAACACACCTTTTCATCTGCAAAACCTGCATTTGACCCATTTCTTTCAAATGTTGTTTTCTTTCTTCTTCAACTTCTTTTAGCTCCTCATTTCTTTTTCTTAAAGTAAGGTTATCCTGTAGCCACCTTTCTTGTATCTAAATGTAAACAATAAGTCAGTTAACAAAAATAGCCAAGTTAAGACCAGGGATTTAGCTCAGTGGCGCTGCCACCTGCCTCGCAAGTGCAATGTCTTGAGTTTGATCCCCAGTAAACCCCCCAGCAAAAAAAAAAACAAAAAAACATTATCTTAGACTTCAATTCCTCTTTTAAAAATTTATCCTACATGAAGATATATGAGAATAACAAAACACTAACAGATGTAGGACAGACTGCCATATAATCTGCAATGAGGAAAAAAGTAATCAATTTAGTAAGTTTATAATCATTGAAAATCGTAAAATATCAGAGTTGACATGTAAGATCAAATAATGTTAAATGAAAAAAAGTACAAAATATAAATGGTATGATGCTATCTATAAATTTATTTATTTATTTATGGTACTGGGGATCGAACTCAGGTCCTTGTGCTTGCAAGGCAGGCGGTGGAACCACTGAGCTAAATCCCCAGCCCTGTCTATAGACTTAAATATTATACACACATAAATCTAAATAAATTCATCTGTTGATATATAAATAAAAAACTTATTTGAGAACAAATAAGAGCACCCTTAGCACTTACAGAGGCTGAGACAGAAAAGTAGCAAGTTTGAGATTAGCCTGCACATCTTAGTTTTGGGGGATTTTTTTAGGTTTTGTTTTTGAATTTTTTGAGTCAAGGTCTCACTACAGTTTAAGTTGATCTTAAACTCACTATGCAGTCCAGACTGGCCTCCAACTTTTGGCAATCCTGTCTCAGCCTCCCAAGGGCAAGGATTACAGGCGTGTGCCACCACATCCAGCTTACCCTGTACACCTTATTGAGACCATGTCTCACAGTAAAAAATAAAAAAATAAAAATGAACTAGGGATGCATCTCAGTGTAGAGCACCCACAAGTTAAGATACTCAGTACTGCAAACAAAACACAACAAAACCACCAAAACAAAAACAAAAGAGAAGCTGCAACAGAAATGACATCCAGGAGACTGAGTATTAGAAGGAAAGAGACAGTTTTAATTTTCTGCCTTTCAACTTTTACCACATGGGCTTACTGAAAATAAAAATGAAAAAAAAAGACAGAATACATGTGTGTGTTATTAGAACTGATTTTCTGTTTGCACTTCTATTCAGTAGATCTATTACCAAACCGCTCGATGTAGAAGAGTGTGCTACAGGTTTACATGGTAACGTGAACACTTACCTTCTGTGTATCAATATCTTGTCTCATGATTCCCATTTCTTTATTTATCTTTTCTTTTTGTTTGTCACATTCACTTAGTTGATCTATTACTGTATTAAGTTCAGTTTCTTTTTGCTACAAAGAAAGACAATTCTTGAAGCACTTGAAATAAAAATACAACTAAATAAATAATTTCAAGTTTTAAATTACCTTCTTATAGTCATCTTTTCCATCCTGAATGTAATTCTCAATGTCTTTCACATAGCCATGAATATTTTTAACCTTCTCTTTGATATCATTCAGCTGTGGAAAAATATTTATTGAACTTACATTGGATATTTACTATTCACTAGGATATATAATAGGAGAACAGAGTGAAATACTGGCTTAGAAGTTAGGATATCTTGGGTTCCAGTTTGTGCCACTACCGAATTTGATCTCAGGTAAATGGCTTTATCACCAAGGGGAAAGAATTAAACAGTCTCGATTCCTAACTTCCATTTCAAATCATAAGGTAGAATATTTTAAGTTTGATCCTTATTTAATCCAAGAACTTCTAAAGTCAAAATTACTTAAGGAGGGCTGAGAATGTAGCTTAGTGGTAGGGTACTTGCCTAGAACGCACAAGGCTCTGAATCAATCCCCAGCACCACCAAAAAGAAAAGCAAAAAAGATGTATATCATGAATCTGAAAAACACTACTTATCTTTAGCTATTTAATTTCATGTGAAAGAACAGTACAAGTTAAATATAGATTTGAAAAACCACAAATGAAATCTTACTTTATCCTGTGCTATTTTGTTGCTTGCTTGTTTTTTGTTGATTAATTCTTCTTTTTCCTGTTGGAACCTTTCCAATGTTGTTTCCAAAGGGTTTACTTGCTCTTTAGCATCCTAAAAATGTAAGAACACATACATCTTACGCAGTATTGCATTATCCTTTTTTGGTTTTTTTGTTTTTTAGACAGGGTCTTGCTATGTAGTCCAGGCTGCCTTTGAATTCATTATGTAACTTAGGCTGGCCTCAAACTCATAATTATCCTCCTGCCTCAGCCTCTCAAGTGCTAGGATTACAGGCGTGCACCACCATGCCGAGGGCCCGTTATCTTATTTTAGATGACAGACCACACAGTCTTAATAATACAACACTTTCTATATGCCATGCTTAAAATTAACCTATTTGTTCCTTTCCTCCACCCTGAAAAAACGGTATCATTATTTTCATCCCCATATTTCAGAATAGCAAGTAAGCACAGAGAATGACCTATCTGGGGTCACCACAAAAGTAAAGAGGGAGTCAAAATTTTAATCCAGAGTTCACTATACTAACCCACTATGCAACTCTGTCTCAGCCACTGACTTTTGTTTTGTTTTGTTTTTTTTTTTGGTACCACGGATCGAACTTGGGTCCTTTTGCTTGCCAGGCAGGCGGGCAGAACCACTGAGCTAAATCCCTGGCCCTACTTGGTTCTTAATCTGGCCATGTGTTTCCAATTTTATTACCTTGTGGTAACTGACATGGTTTAATAAGGGGGCCTATGTCAGCTGTGTGATCAAGAACTGGAACGTTCATCCAACCCAAGATTCTTGTTTATACGTCAGAGTATGATGGTTAAAAGAAAAAGAGACTTTCGAGTAATAGATGATTTATCCTCATATCATTTCTACAATATATTTACATGGTATCCCTGTTCAATGATCATCAAAAACCTTAATATTCTAAAATATCTATTGACTCTATAAAGGTAGATACAATTATTACTTCAAGGTAGGCAAATTTTCTCATACTAGGATGTAACACGGTGAGGTGGGAAGCCAAATGTCTTCAGTGTCAGAGACCTACCTGAAAATCAACCCTGTCTCTTATTAGGAGTATGCACTTGGGCAACTCATGGGGAATTGGTAGATTTGTTTTTCTGTAAAAATGAGATTTCGTATCTCTCTCAACAGGAGTGTTAAGACATTAAAATTTTAATGCCTAAAAAAGAATACAAATACAGGGTAATCTATTTTATACATTAAGACTGATAATTTGCAACCCAAATTATTTCAATAATGACTTTACAGGATAATAGATTTAGTAATTTATTTAGTACTTTACATGTACATATAATCTTCATAAGACCCTAGGTCAGGTTGCTGTTTCATGAGTTTAATTGGTCGAGTCTTAGAATTTAGTAATTGTTATAAAGGTTGGCAAAGGCAGTATAGTACCTATGGAACCAATGTAGTACCTGCTCTCTTCTGGTAAGGACTGAGAGACTATAACTGGAACTACACGGAAACAGTGCTATGATGGAGAATGTCTGCCACGCATAAAGCATTTGCAGGTAACACAAACCTCCCTCAGGAAAAGGTACCCTTATTTAAAATTACCAAGCACCAACTAATGATGTCCAATAACATGAGGATCACTACTTAACCAAGCAGCTGCTTCCTTACTATGTGCAAATTCTTTCAGGAATCTGTACTTATTAGTACAAATAATCTGTACAAATTCTGTCACTCAGGGACCACACAAAGAATTATACTGTTTTCATTTGATTCTCACAATAACCATAGTTGTGGCCACTGCATCAATTAAAAGGACTTCATATATTTGAGCTAATTAAAAAGACAAACATATATTAATGATCTTACCTTTATCTCTCTGTGTAAACACTGAACTTCAGTGGATAATTCCACAGTTTGCTCCTCAAGCTGCTGACGATGTTGCAAATTAGTGGCTATCTGAAGTTTCTCTGATTTAAGCTCATTTGTTGTACTTTTTAGGTGTTGTATTTGTTCCTGCTGGTCCTGTATAAGCTTACGATTCAATTCAATCTTACTGGAAACTGCACGAAAACATTACTGACAGTGATTACAGAAAATACTATTAGCACCATCCTTCCAATTTGTATAGAGCTATGTAATCCAGGAAGGCTGCTTTGAGTGCCACCAACTGTAACGAAAGTCTAACAAGAACTCCAGACTTCCTGGCCACTCACAGGTAAAGTGCATGTGATACTCTTCTACCATCCCAAATGTGTTGTGCAAAACAAGAAAAAAAAAAAAAAAAGAAGAAGAAGAAGAGAGAGAAGTGATGCTTTTGAGAACAGAGAATGAATATATTATGGCCAGAACAAAGAAAGTTCTTTATTCATGTAAATTCACAGTTAAATTCGCAGATATAAATTCACTGTTACAAAAAAAAAGTACTGATGACAAGGAAATCTTTGAGGGTCCAATGAAGAAACAGATCATATTACCTGTATCTAATTTGTGTTGTTTTTCTTGTTTCTCCTTGTTTACTTGTTGAACAGTTCGATCCAAATCTATTCCTTGTAGTTTAGCTGCCTGTTGTGCAATTTTTCTTTCAACATCTTTAAGTTCCATCTTAACAACAGAATAGTTATTTCCTCTAAGAAACTTATTGCAATGTGATAACGCAAAAGTTTTTAAACAAAATTAAATGAAATACAAGCAAACAAATTTTTTTAGTAATTCAAATGAGGGTTAAGGTTAGAGGGAGAAATGATGGAGGGGAAGGGGAAGTAAAAGAAATTAAGATGTGCTATGTACATGTACCAATTCTCTACAATGAATGTAATCATTATGTACTGCAAACTGATACTAATAAATATTTTTAAAGTGAGACAAAGAAGTTGATTAAAATGAAACAGAATTATGTAATTTCCTAATTTACGAATAAAAACCATAATCCCGGAAGCATAAATGATCAGTTGCTCCTTAAGGCTACCTGAACTCTAAATGCAATCTGTATATGAAAACTAGTTTAATACTGTCACATCTCACATTCAAGTCATCATGCAACAAGTTTTACTCTGCCTTAAACTACAATAAACTTACCTGGAACCTCTCCATAATTGTAACATCTGTCAGACATACTTTAGCACTTTCTTCCTCTGGTATTATTGTACCCAAGAGTGTTTCCTGTTCTTCTATGTCATTCTTTAGGCGCTGTATGTCTCTATTGACATTCTGCAGTTTGTTTCTTAATTCTGGTATTTCCTTCTCCTTCAAATCAATTATGTTTTGCCTTAACAGAAAACACACAATTAAAAACAATCTATCAGGGCTGGGGATTTAGCTCAGCAGTTCGGTGGCCTGCCTTGCAAGTGCAAGGACCTGAGTTCAATCCTGGTACCAAAAAAAAAAAAAAATCTATCTGAGGGCCAGGGATTTATCTCAGTGGTGCCACCACCTGCCTCACAAGCACAGGGTCCTGAGTTCGATCCCAGGTAACAAACAAAAAAGTCTATCTGATATTGTTCCATAATCAGACTAAGGTTAAGTATTCTTGGCAAGAATACCCCAAGTGATATTTCTTTTCTGGCCTTACCAGTGGCTACATAATGTTACACTGTCTTACTACCAGTAATGTAATCTTATTCACTTTAAAATGGTGCCAGAATTATTTCTCACTGTAAAGTTACCATTTTTTTCTTCGTAACTAAAAAACATCTTGGGCTGGGGATGTAGCTCGGTGGTATCACAGCCTGCCTTGCAAGCACAAGGTCCTGAGTTCAATCCTCACTATCAAAAAAAAAAAAAAAAAAAAAAAAATCTTGACAAGACATATGTTGAGACTATGTAAATATTCTTTTTCTCAAATTTCTGCTTACTTTTAGTATCCAGTGGTACAGCTTGCTTGCAATAATTGTCACTGTACTGTTTATCTATGAGCTATTCTACAAATTAAGTGATCATATTCATCAAAAATGTCAAGGTCATAGAAGAAAAAAATGGAAACAAACCTTTTGTAAATAAGGAGGGTAAGGAGAATGAGGAAAAAACAATCAAGGTATATTATATACACAGGTACAAATTTCCTATGATGACTGTGATCATTATGTATGTGAAAAATATACCAACAAAATTAATTTTTTAAAATGCCAAGGTCATGAATGACAAAAACAGACTCTGTTACACACTGCAGTACCCTAAGGAGAAACAACTAGATGCGATATTAAATTCTAGGATGAATTCTGGAACAGAAAAAGGACAATAATTTAGTTAGTAGCATTATACCAATGCTAATTTCCTGGTTTTGATAACTATATTATGGTTACAGAAATTATATCAGGAAATGCTGGATGATAGATATATGTAAATTCTGTGTTTTTTTCAAAATGTTTCTGTAAGAAAATTATTTCAAAATTATAAAATGACAGAGAAGAAGTAAGGAAGCCAGCCACTCAGCCAAATGCAACATGAGTTTAAGGCACAAAAGTTATTCACGCTTTTTATTGTCAATACTGTAATGAATTACTGCCTCAAAGGCATGTACAGGTTACATACCTATTTTTATTGACACTGCTGAAGCAATAAAATTTGTATGTGAGTTTTAAAAATTCAAATTTATTTCTAAAATCTTCCAAATTCTCATCTAAAATTAGAAAAGGAAGTAAAAGTGGTATAATGAAGTAAATTAACTGCTAATGGAAGGCTTAAAAGAAAAAAACACAAGTCTATGATCACCTAATGTTTTAAAAAAGTGCATTTATAAGAAAAGCCAACATAAACTGTACCAAGAGACCTACAATGTTTTGTATCACAGAAATATGACATGGAGCTGGAGCCATCTTTGTGAACTGTTAAGTGTATATATGATTTCAATCCATTTATACACAAATACACACCCCTACCACTCACCAATGTGGTAAAGATTTTGGTACCATCTTATTTGACACTAGATCCAAAATGTTAAAATAACTGTTCTAAAAAAGTAAAGAAATATTCCTAGCAAATAAGCTACTGAGAACTATGAGGATCCTCTGGGTTTATTTCAGCTTTTTTCTTTTCACTTTTTATGAGATCTTACTTTTTATTTAAGTTTATTTTTCTCATGGTTTGAGCTTTTTTACATGATTTTCAATGAACAAATCTTAACTTTACATTTGAGATGTGATGTCTCCATATATGTATACAGCGTGCAATGATTAAATCAAGTAAAATGACATATCCGGTATCTTGCTCACCTGTTTGTCTTTGGTACTGGGAAATGAACTCAGAACCTTGTACTTATGAGGCAGGCGGCAGCACCACTGAGCCAAATCCCCAGTCCTTACCTATCTTTTTTTATGGTAAGACATCTGAAATTTATTTTCTTTGGGTTATCTTCAGAAACTCAATTCATATATTTTTGGATAGCATTCCTGTTCCAAGGAAATTATATGTAAAAGGACTCCTACAGATAAAGTACTGAAACTAAATTTTGGGAGAAACAGGGGAAGTGAAATTTTATTTAAATGCAATTCTATAATATATAAACCCATAGCAGTACTAAATAAATTGAGAATCAGGTATATTTTCAGCTGAGATTTCGTTCATAATGGCAGACTCATACTAAGTGTTGGTTTGGGGTTTTAAATCAAAGCATTAACTTCTCCAAAGAGGATCTGGACTATTACAGCTTGTATCTAGATGTCCATCTAGCTCATTGGTGGGCTTTTTGGAGATGGCTGGATATAGAGCGTGTGGTGCTGAGTTTAAGGGTGCCCCACCTTGGAAATGAGCAGCACCAACCAAAAGGCTACATGTAGGGCCAGGGATTTAGCTCAGTGGCTCTGCCACCTGCCTCACAAGCTCAAGGACCAGAGTTCAATCCCCAGTATGGGGTTGGGGGTGGGGGATTCACGACATTGTAGCTTGGATTCAATACAAGGTTTTTGTGATGCCTTTCTGCCATGCCATGCTGCTACGGTGCCAACTATGGGCTGAAACCTCTACAAACCATGAGCCAAAATAAACCTTTCTTCCTTTAACTTGGGTTACAAGAATTTTGTCTCAGCAATGAGCAAAATAAGACATGGCCCTTTACCACCTCCTTAGATTTTTTTTTTTTCTTCTTATGGAGTTTATTGGTACATTCTAGGTATACAGTACAGTTACGTTACTGGGATCTTGTACCTTTACATAACAGGTCTTGGTTCTCATTTTTCCCCTTGTCCCTGCTCCATCTCCTTAGCTTTAACTTCTATCACTTTTCCCTTAGGCCTTTGGGTCAGATATGACTCAGCAACTTTATTCTCTTCAGGGCAACTGCATGGCTGGCTCATTTCTCGCAGGCCTCCACTCAAATACTGCCTTCATTAGCAACTTCCCCATCACCCTTCAGCTACTCCCCATTCCTTTATCCAACTGTGTATTTCTCCATGGCACTGACTGTCACCTATATATTCCATACAGTTATTGGCTGTCTTCTCTCCATTAGCAAATAATCCCATGAGGGCATGGACTCTGTCAATTTTGTTTACTGCTATACCACCAGTGCCACAAGAGTTTCTATTAAGTAAGTACTGATTAAATGAATACACAGTTCTTCTTACAGTGCTGCCACCAAGGGCTCATTTTCCAGGAAAAAAGAAATGTATGACAATCCTCCAGCTTAGTGAATGTCACAGACACACCTCTATAATGTAGCTGAAGATGACCCTTGCAATGCATAACAATAGAATCAGTTAAAACAAGAGCCGGAAGGAAAACCTGTTGATCATCTAAGTCAACACCCTCACTTTACATGGGGAAATTAAGGCCCAGATGGGTCAAGTAACATCCCTAAGGTCGCACAGCAGAGCCAGAATTAGAAATTATAGATCAGTCTAACTACTGTACATTGCTAAGCTGCTGTTTTTCCATACAGGGAATAACTGTGGTTATAAATGACCTTTCATTTATGAATTTATGTGGATTTAAACTTTAAAAATAAAAAATGTGTAAATATATAAATGAAAGAGATGTCTCATTTCCCTAAATTCATCCTTCTAGAGTTCCACAGAATGACATCCTACCACAACCTGGTAAGGAAACGGAGGCCCATCACTGGCCTTCACGTTGTGATTCTTTTAGTAGAAATAGTTCCACCATACAAGCTTTCTCACTCAGCAGTCAGGCCAATATCTTAGTCCACTTTCAGTGCTTCCTCTGGACCTCTCCTTAGCTTATTTTGGTGACCAGAATGGCATACAAGTGCTACTGTGGACCTAAGGTTACTCATTAAGGCCAGCCACAAGTACTCTGACTCTTCTAGCAAGAGGTGAGATGTCCAGGGCCAGGGATTTAGCTCAGTGGCGCCACCACCTGCCTTGCAGGCACAAAGTTCCAAGTTCGATCTCTGGTACCAAGAAGAAAAAAAAAAAGAGAGGTCAGATATCTTCTCTGAGTCTTAGCACACTCTGTGACTATCCTAAGCAACAGAAAATGACTGAAGTTCCATTGTGCAGTTGCTGGGCCCAGGCCCTAAGGGACTTGCAGTTTCTACTTCCTGTGTCTTGGAATGCTAGCACTTAAGAGGCTGTGTTTGGAATCCAACCCCTCTGCTGCCAAACAGCAAGTCACATGTGGACATCATGAGAAGGCATCTTGTTTGATAGCCTCAGCACATTTCCCAGCCAGCAGCTCTGAGTGAGCCACAAATGTATAAAGCCAGCCCCAGTGAGCCCTGAGATGGCTGCAGGCAATCTCAGACTGCAGCTACCTGAAAGTCCCAAACAATAGGCACCCAGGTAACCACGGAATCACGGAAAAAAATAAACTTGCTGTGAGGCACTACATTTTGAGGAGATATGTTACATGCAATAAATAAAAGAGATACTACAGCTCGCCTTCAAATAGCAAAGTCAGAAGAACAAGGGACTGTGAAGACATGACAATGTGTAAGAGTGTTGTGCTCTGATAAGGGCAGCTGTGTTGGCAAGGGTCCTAGCACGATACCATGTATCAATTCAACACAGATCTAATGACTAATGACTTTACTTTTCTTCTATATGCTCTTTCTACAAACTTTAAGTTTTATCTATTTGATCTTTTTGAAGATATTATTCTATTTCCTTTTCATTCTCAAACTACTGCTCTATCTTATCACGTTCTTACTAGGGCCGCAATTATCTGGTTTTCATTCTTGATGCTGTTAGTTATCTACTGTTTTATAATAAAGTATCCTCCAGGCTAGCAGCTTAATACAAGAGCATGTATTTCTCAGATGTGAAGACTGGGAGATACACTTCTGATCAGCCTCTCTGACAGAGTCCAGCTGTCAGCCAGGGCTGCAATAATTTCAAGCCTGGCTGCTACAAACTTTACTTCTAAACTCACTTATTCAGGGCCAAGGATATAGCTCAGTGGTGCCATCACCTGCCTCGCAAGCACAAGGTCCTGAGTTCGATGCGCAATACCAAAAAAAAAAGAGAGAGAGAGAGAGAAAAAATAAATTCACATTATATCCTCCTCATATGGGCCTCTCCATGGGGCTTCTGACAACCCAGCACCTCGATTCTCCCAGACTGGATGGTGAGAGAGAGCCATAGCACCTTAGATAACCTAATCTTGGAGAAACTTGCTATTGCTTCTGTCCTGTTTTACTGGATACTGTGGAGCTTAGGTCCATAGTAACACTTATGTGCCATCCTCATCACCACATAGTAAGTACAGCTAAGGCAGCGATACAAGAGGAGACCGCAAGGAGGCAGAGACCACAAGAACCATGTTAGAACCTGGCTGCCTCAAAGCGCATCTCGTAACTTTCCTTCCCCTTTTCTTAAAAGTTTTCCTTAGTCTTCCTAGACAACTTACTGTGTTGATTTTTCTGCTTTTACAGATTTTCTCACTCAAATCTACCCAACTTTTTTTCGCAGGGGGCACCAGGGATCGAACTCAGGACGTTGTGCTTGTCAGGCAGTCGTGGTACCATTGAGCTAACAACTACCTGACCCTACTCAATCTTATTAATATCAAATTAATTTTCCTAAAATACACCTTTCAGTAAATCCCTTAGGAATGGTGCCATATCACCTGTAAGAATGAGTTATTATTAGGCCTGAACATTATGCAACCCTATTTTTTCAACTTGAGGGAATCAATCAATCCCTACAAATAATCCCCAAAACTCCAAATAACATTTCAGCTGCAGCACACATTATTTTCCTCTTCCCAGTGCACAAACTGTTGATTTCCCTTCTAACTGTCTACCCACTTTTGTTTTTTTTTGGTACCAGGGATTGAACTCAAGACCTTGCACTTGCATCGCAGGCGCAGTGCCACTGAGCTAAATCCCCAGCCCATCCCTTTTATCTGAGTTGAACCAACTTTTAGGCTTTATATTCCCCTTCCCTCCTCATTCTCAAAACATTTTTCATTCTTGACTCACTGGCTTCTGTCTTCTTAAATAATGCAATTTTTGGAACCACTTTTGAACACTTTATTAAAACCAGCTTTTTAATTCCTAGGTTTTCTCTTTAATTAGCCCATCCTGTGGTCTAATTAGCTCCTTATGGGTCATGTCATTTTTTTTTTTTTTTGGATACCGGGGATCAAACTCAGGACCTTTCGCTTGTGAGGTTGGCGTAGTGACACTGAGCTACAAACCCAGACCTGGATCATGTCTTAATGATCTCTACAGCCAGCCTTGTGCTCTAAGCTGTGGGAGAAACCAGAAAAATCGTCATATAGAGATAAAGTTTAAAATTTAGTTTTTGGAAGCACTTTTAAGTACTTTAATTCTTTGGCTGGATTAAGAAACTGCTGTATCAAGGGAAAAAGAAATTCTGTAGCAATCTTTTCAAAACAAGTTCTCCATTCTCGTCATATGCCAGCATTCCTCAGTCAAACAGGAGAAATGGTATTATAAACATTATTTCTTGTCCATATAAAACTAAATTCATTCATTAATCTTAGTATATTGGATTGGGAGAAATGGTAACTCATCTTTTAAAACAATGCCTAGAAAACATTGCCTAGAAAAATAGTCCTTCCGTACATTTTAGGATTCCCATTATTTTGGTGACTTGGGTTTACAGCAACACAGAAAGTATTACCTAAATAAAATGTTAGGAACAAGAATCTTCAATGAAACACTTGATTCTACTAAAATGCAGAGGTGCTACAGCATTCAAATGTTAGATTCTTTGGGAATATGTGCACCTAAATGGTGCTTCTCCCCTAGATGCCACAGGAAGCCACAACTGCTAACACTCATCAATGTGATGCAAATGCAAGGCTCTCCAAAGAAAAACTCCTTGTAACATTAAAATAATATATATGGTGCAAATACCAGTTTAAAGCTTTTGACTTATCCAAGTAAAGGAATATGAAGGGATTTTAAATAACTATATGTCCATTAGTAGACCATCTTGTACAAGTAGATTTCTGCTTAATAACTGTAAAGCAGGGTAATTTGTTGACTTGTTTTGGTATTTTGTGTGCCTTAGAGTTCTGTTTTAAAACATGTATTTTGAAAAAAAAAAGAAAATGATTTATTGCTGGGGATTGAGCTCAGTGGTTCTACAGCTTGTGAGGCAAGCGCAAGGACCTGAGTTCAATCCCCAGCACCAAAACAAACAAAAAAAAGAAAATGATGTATCAACAAACAGTTGTAAATCTGTCAAAATTTGTATCCTCAAGCCAAGTTTGTTACACACACACACACATACACACACACACACACACACACACAGACTATACATACTTCCTGACTAGTTTAAGAAACAAGCTTAGCTTACTTTACTTGGTTTTTTGAGACACAGCCTCACTATGTAGCCCAGGATGGCCTTGAATTAGTGGTAATCCTTCTGGCTCAGCCTCCTGAACACTGGGATTACAGCTGTGTGCCACCATGCCTCGCTACAAGCTTAGCTTCAAACTAAAACTATTGATTCTACTACCATGTGTAATATGAAATAAAACATGCTAATTCAGAATATAAAAACTCTGATTTTTAATTTTATCCTTTCAACATAGCCTTACCAAATATCTATCACACACCAGGCACTCTGTGAATGTCTTTTACAACATAGCTGTTGATGTACAGTACTAATAAACCCTTATTCTCACCTCATGGGCACAAGCCCTAGCATTTCATCTCGACGCTTTTCTTTTTTCTTTAGCTCTAACTCTGTTGACTTGAGTTTATCAGGAGCAAGCCGCAGCTTAGACTGCAAATCACTGATGACTTCTTGTAATTCAGCCTCTGTTTGAAAAACTCTCTGACAGACAGGGCAACATGATTCGTTTTCATCTGTTAGCTGAGTAATGAACTGAGAGTAAACTGCTGTGGCTCCAGCCAGCATAGCTGTTTTAGGAAAAATCAATAAATCTCCAGTGAGAAAAATGTACATCTCCTCTAACTATAAATGTTCTTCTTGCCTTATAAACCTATTACAAATGAAATACAAGGTCCTTCCTATTTAGATATCTTCCAAAGGGCCTAACATATTGAGATTTGTATAAATTATCTCCTTGTAACATGCAAAAAGTATAACATCTACTGAAAGTTTTCTATGGGCCAGGCACTGTTCTGAGGACTTTACTTATAATCTCATTTATGCCTCTTTAATACCCTAGGTCAGTACTGGCGAAACTTTTAGAGCTTTCAATAACACAGCCTGCTGCAGCACACGTGCCACAGGTTCACCACCACTGCCCTAGGTGGAAGGTATTCCTCATTTTGCCGATAATGAATGTGAAACACAGGAAGGTAATGATATACTGTCCAAAGTCACACAGCACACAGTGTTATACAACCATCATGAAAAATCAAGGCATCTGGCTCCATAAAAGGTATTTAAATCTCCCATCCTTGATGGATACCTGTAAATGAAAATTACAAAGTGTCAAAAAGTGTCTTGGTAACAAGAAATTGGTAACTTACCTCGCTGTTTCGAAGATTTTTCAATATCCTCTTTAAGCCTGTCTAAATCATTTTCAAAATCCTGGCTACCACAAACATCAAATAGCTTGTCTTCGTAGTTGGACAACTGCTCTTCCTTTCTTTTTAGCTCATTACTTATATGATTTTTATTTTGCTCAGCTGAAGCTAGTTCCTTGCTAAAATGAAAACAAGCATACATTATAATCCAACCAAATTATTCCAACAAAGTACAAGGTTTATTATGACCAAGTAATTTTCTAAAGTTAATCAATTCATACTGGGGATTGAAACAGTGGCTTTGAACAATGCTAAGCACATGCTCTACCACTGAACTTCACTCCCAGTCCAAGTATTTTTCTCAGAATCATGGCAAAAGTCCACTCCTGCTTCAATGTTCCCTACAGGACACAGGTTCTCCTGCCAATCCCAGTAATGGGGCTACTCCCAGAAAAATGTACACAGGCAGAGTTCTCCCTGATTTCTGGTGGCTCATGACATTAGATTCCAGGATAAGAAAAGAATAAGGCAGAACTATTTTAAGAAATTTCCTTCAGAAAAATATGTGAATGCACATGTAGTCCATCATACTATATCCATTGTGAGTCATGCTAAACATGTGGAACAAAATAAATGACATGTAAAATGCTTTCATCAGTGAACTAAGTGCAAAGTGCAGGCTCCACCTCACTGGACCTCTAGGTAGCACCAAGTATTTCCAACACTCTGTTTTTATTTTTGTTTTTTTGAGACAGGGTCTCACTATGTAGAGTCTGACCTGGAACTCACTATGTAGCCCAGGCTGGTCTCGAACTCACAGCAATCCTCCTGCCTCAGCCTCCCCAGTGGTGCGATTACAGGCATGCGCCACCACACCCAACATATTACTTCCAAAACTCTTAAAGGATCATCTTCCCGAGGCACCTCAGATGCTGCTCCTGCTTGGCTCTCAGTCTGGTCTCCTAGGGACATCCTTGTTTGCTTCACTTGCTCCTCTCCTTTTCAATGCCAGTGTTTTTAAAAGCTTGTGCTTTCCAGCAGATTAGTCTCTTTGCTTTGTAAAACTCTCTTAAGGTGACATGCTTAGCCTAATGATGTCAACTGTCCATTACCTAAAAAGCTGCAATCTCCTGAACTTCAAACTTCGAAATTCTATTCCCTAGAAGACTCTTCTGCAATAAATGCATATTTAACACAGGCAAAGCATAATGTTATCAGCTCACTAAAAATTCTGTGTAACCAAGACCTGGCATGTAAAGGTACCAGATCCCAGTAATGAATGTAGCTGTACTGTCTACCTAGAATGTACCCATAAATTAAATTTAAAAAAAAACTCTGTGTAAAATTTGAGATCCTCTTAACCATCATCGAAGATTACATCTGAGAAAAATGATCTTTTTATAATGGTTAATGAAATAAAATTTCAGAAATTTAATCCTCTTACTAAGGTCTACACATTTGCAAAGGAGAGGAGACCCCAATCAATACAAATTAACAACTTGCAAAAAGTAGGCCAATTAACATGATGTACCATTTCATGACAATACATTATTTAAAACGATGACAAATAAAAGCAATAAGGGATTTCTATTTCAAGGGCAATGTTGCAACTACTTACTTCAATTTGGCAAGTCTATCCCTGGTCTGATTAATTTCTTTTGATTTACTATGAAGCCAATCTTCAAGCTGTTTTTTGTTAGGAAAATATCCCAACAGTAAAGTTAATTCATCACTATGCCTAGATTTTATTTTTCTAATTTGTTCATCTTTGTCAGCCTATACGGAAAAAACAAAAACACTTTAGAAAACGAACCGTGTATCTCCACACTGTATCAAGAGCAATAACAAATTCCAGGTTGACAAAAATAAAACTGTAAAAATGCAAATGGGGAAAAAAAAAAAAGCAAATGGGTAATTCTAAGCCTTAAAAGATTACCAAGTCTAATGATGGAAAAATATAAAACTTCCATATATCAAAAATAAAGCAACAGGGCTGGGGATTTAGCTCAGTGGCAACATGCCTGCTTGAAGGTGCAAGGTCCTGAGTTCAATCCCCGGTATTAAAAAAAAAAAAAAAAAAGGCAACAAGGGCCAGGGATTCAGCTCAGTGGCACGGTGCCTGCCTTGCAAGCTCAATGTCCTGAGTTTGAACCCAGGACCAAAAATAAATAAATAAATAAAGCAACATGCATGTTTATACATATGTACTTCTGCATTATTAACTTTATAAAATTAAAAAATAACTGCCAGTCACAGTGGTACAAGCAGATAATCCTAGCTACTCAGGGATGAGGCAGGGGAATCATTGGAGCCCAGGAGTCTGAGGACAGCCTGGGCAACAGACCACCATCTTTGTCTCCAAATCAGCAACAATAACGTTGAAATTTAAAAGTCTATTTTATAGTGTTTAGCTCTTACCTTAATATACAAAGTCAATAACAAATTAATTCTCATTGTCTATCAATTATTAACATAACATAAACTGTTTTAAATACATGAGAGTATAATTCAAACAGAAAGAAAACTCATACTTTGTCTTTAGTTAACATCTCCATCTGGGTACGGGTTGTCGTGTGATGATTTAACTGCTCCATCTCCTGGTCCAATTTACGCAAGGTCTTGTCTAGGTCTGCTTTCTCATTTTGAAGGCTTATCACTTCTGTTTTTAGGGTTTCTATATTGCTGTTTTTCTCAGCCTTGCTTAACTCATCTTCCTAATCAAAAATTCAAAGAGATGCACAGGTTTATGTATTTTCCATCAGAACTAAAATAATGAAAAGTATATTAGAAATTACTAATAATGGTCAAAATACTATTTTGCTTGTATCCAACAAGAGACATAGGCTATGTATGCTTTAAGGAAAGTCTTACTAAAATTACCTTATTGGGTTATAATGGTAGAAAATTAGTAAATAAACCTGGATGGGTCTAGTTAATGTTTACTTAAATTACAAAGATGGGTTTTAAGCCGGGAATGGTAGTGCACGCCTGTAATCCCAGCACTCAGGAGGCTGAGGCAGGAGGATTGCTGTAAATTTGAGACCATAGTGAGTTCCAGGTCAGTCTCAACTACATAGTGAGAACCTGTCCCAAAAAACAAAACAAAAATAAACGACAAAAAAAAAAGATGGGTTTTAAGAGAGGATTTGCCAAGCTTTAAAACGCTTACTTTTGCAAAGAAAAGAGACAGATTAAAAACAAATTTAATTTAAGAAAATTTAAATTTAAGAAAATTTAGAAATTCTTGAAATTGTCTAAAAATGTTCACCACTGAAAAAAGTGGTAACAAGACCAAAGCCATATAAAGTCATAGTGTGTAGAACCTAGAGGGAAAACACTTATTTTCTTTCTCAAGTAAATGATTCTTAACCAAGAGGCTTGTAACAATTGTTACAAATTCTGTTCTGTTTGGAACACACATTTCCATGCCTCACTTTTGCAAGATGAAGGTTTGGAAGCTTTAAAGTCTAAGCATAAGTATCTTTAAAGAGCTTCCTGGCTGATTCTAATTTTCAACCCACTGGGTTCCAGAACCAAAGATTTGGATGACTAAGATACTCAGATAAGTTCATTTTATATCAGATCATAGAAAAAGTACCATTTATAATAATCATTGTAATAATCTACAGGAAAACAGAGAGATAGATCCTTTGCAAATAGGAGAACCAACTGGGGGTGAGGGGTTAAAGGGAAGAGTGGAAGGGAATGTAAAAAGGAACTGAGATGTGTTATGCACACGTGCCAACTTCCCACAACGAATGTAATCATCATATACTGTAAACATGTACTGATAAAAATAAAAAATTTTAAAAACCATAATCTTATGAGTAGCAACAGATAAAATAATTGGGAATGCAAGATTTTAAAATATCTTATACCTTAAGAGTATTAGATTACTTAAATATCTTACAGCTTTTGTGAGCTCCCGGTCCAGTTCAAGAATCCTGTCTGAAGATCCTTCCAACTGCTGTAATTCATATTTGACGCTTCTCAGCTCATTTTGCTTCTTACTTAGGATTTCTGATTTTAGTTCCATTATTCTTCCGAGTCCTGTCTTCTTATCCCTTATCTCATCTATCTGTTTTTGTTTCAGAGTTTCTTTTTCTGCAAAGTCATTCTAAATACATACGTAAGAATGTGCATTAATAATTTTTCACTAAACAATTCACTAAGAAAAAGTTTCTTCACTGCAAAAGCAACACTGTGAGCCAGGCATGGTGGAACACGCCTGTAATCTCAGCACCTTGGGAGGCTGAGGACGTACGATCCCAAATTTGAGTCAGCCTGGGCAACTTAGTGAGACACGGTCTCAAATAAAAACAAAAACGGAGCTGGAGACTTAGGTCAGTGGTGCCAGTGCCTGCCTCTCAACCACAAGGTCCGGATTCGATCCCCAGTACCAAACAAACAAACAAAAAAAGGGCTGGGGATATAGCTTAGTGCAAAGGCCTAGAGCTCAAACCCCAGTTCGAAAACAAAACAAAAGAGTAACACTGTATGCAATGAAGAAAATACAGAAAAGTCTTTTTATAAATGTAAGAAGTGTTATCCAGACATAATCATTAATAACTCTGAGTACACTTTTTATTGCAATCAGCCTTAAAAAGAAATTTTACTTAAAATAAAACTGTCTAGCCAGGCACAGAGGCACATGCCCGTAACCCCAGAAACTCTTGAGGTTAAGACAGGCAGCCTAGGTGGTGCTGCTGCCTGCCTCACAAGTGCAAGGTCCAGAGTTTGATACCTGGTACCAAAAAAAGACAGGAGGCCTGAAAACTGGAGGCTAGCCTTGCAACTCAGTGAGGTCCTGTCTCAAAATAAAATCAAATAAATCAAATTTAAAAGGACTAGGAAAGGGGTGGCTGGGTAATGTAGTACAGTGGTACAGAGCTTGCCTAGTAGCATGTATGAGACACTGGGTTAAATCCCCAGGACTCCCCTACCCCAAAAAGGGGTCTGCATTTTTCTCATATTTGTATCCTTATAAACTTTTAAAAATTTGCTTCTGTAAGTTTTTTGGGGGGCCGGGGATTTAGCTCAATGGTTCCGCCGCCTGCCTGGCAAGCGCAAGGTCCCGAGTTGAATCCCCTGTACTAAAAAAAAAAAAAAAAAAAAGTGTTTTATTTTTTTTACATTAGTAAACCTTAGACTTCATCTAAAAAACAAAACAAAATTTGACACAAAAGAAAATAGCAGGGAGAAAGGAAGGGACAAGAAAAACACTTTTTTCTTTTCAACAGAAGAAAAGATGGAAATAAAGCTTTTGTACACAGGGAGGGAAGGGGGCTTGAGGGGAGGAAATGCTATAAAAAATTTATTTAAAAAAAAGAAAATAGCAAACATTTACTTCAAAATATTTACCATTAGCTGCTTGGCAGTTTCTGCTTCCTGTTCTTGTCTCTCTCTCACTAATTTGTGAAAATTTTTAATCTGTCTGTCACTGAATGGTCCACGTTCAAAGCCCTCCAATTCCAGGTGTGTTGCCAGTGACTGAATTAATGAATCTCTAGCTCGGATATGTTCTTGATGGCGATCTGCTTGTAGCTGTAGGCGGCCTTAAAAAAAAAAAAAAAAACTAGTAATTTTCTTAAAAGCTGAAATAACTGTAAATTCAAGTTGAAAAAAATAATACAGTGTAATCTCTTGTATACTTGGCCCAGTTTCCCCTAATGAGAATGTTTCACAAAACTGCATTATCAGGAAGGCTATTGACATAAATATAACCCATCCATCTTATTTAAATCTGCCAATGTGGGCCGGGGATTTAGCTAAGCGGTGCTGCCTTCTGCCTTGTAAGCACAAGGTCCCAAGTTCAAGCCCCAGTACCAAAAAAACAAAACAAAACAAACAAACAAAACCCCCAAAAAATGAACAACAAAAAAATCAATTCCACACTGCAAGAGCCCTCTTGTTGCTCTTTTTTAACCTTAACTATATCCATCTTCCTCTTACTCCTCCTCCTATCTGGTACCCTGGCAACCACAAATCTGTCCACTATTTCCTAAATTTTGACGTTTCAAAACACTATATAAATCGAAACATACTGTATCTAGACTTTTGAGACTGGCTTTTTTCACTAAACCTAAGTCCCTGGAGATTCTTCATGCAGGAAACATGTACCACACTAAGACAAAAGGCCAAGTTAATACTTTGTCCTACCTTGTTCAACAAGCAGTTCTGACTTTTCTTGATTGAGAAGCCTAGATTCTTTATTTAATTTTTCCAGTTCACGCTGACAGTCTACTAATCTCCTTTCTTTTTCCCTTACTGTTCTCTGATGATTGTGATATAAGTCATTAAGTTGCTCATCAGTACCTTGAAAAACCTGTGTGAAATCAAAATGAAATCCTTTAATAGTGTAAATATTAGAAGATACAATCATACCAAGGTACCAAATATAAATAAAATCTTATTCGACACCCTTTTTTTAATATACACACAGAAGTAACACAAATATTAAAATGTGGCTGGCACAACTGTTTCTACTGAAGTCCATTATAACCACCCCAAAATTTTCAAGTAGAAGAAAACTACCACCACAAACCTTTTCCATTTTCTGTTCTAGTTCACTGTTATCTTTCTCCATTTGCTTTTTTCGGCTTTCTAAGGCTTTAATTTCATTATCAAGTCTCATTATTTTAGAGAGATTATGTTCAATTGCTTCTAGGCGATTCTAAAAATAAAAAAAGTACATAAATAAAATTCATTCTAGTTTACACTGTTTATAGGTGAAAAGAAACAGAATGTGCAAGAGCCAATTCTCTCATTTAATGCTAATAACAGGGCTTTAAAGGAAGCACAGAGAAAAATGACTTGCCTAAGTCCTCATGGCTAGTAGAGAAGAGCATAACATAAATTCTTTTTTACTTCTGGTACTGGGGATTGAACCAGGGGCCATATGCACACTAGACAAGGGGTGTATCACTGAGCTATATGCCCTTAAATTCCACTTTTCATTTCAAAGCCAATGCCCTACCTACAATACCTCCTGCAAAAGTCATTCACTCACAGGGCACTGAGAGATACAATATGCAAAGTACCACATTTTTAAGAACCTGATCTTTAAAAGGCCAATTTATTTTTGTTTTTTAGTTTAGTTTTTTTTTTTTTTTTTTTTTTTTTTTTGGGTTGGGGATTAAATCCAAGGCATCACATTGTGCTGGGCAAGGGCACTACTCTTCAGCTATATCTTCAGCCCTAAATTGTTTTTAAAAATCAAAACTGAAGGTAGAAACTCATGCTGAGTTAGTAGCACATTCTGAGCCTGTAGGCAAATTTACATGAAAGATTGCATTTCAATCCTAACTACAAGCACAGAGGCCTATGAGGAGGTGACATATGACAAGTGATCTTGGCAGTTTGCTCCCAAGGCCTACCTCCGTGGATGGCTGGCTGACTCGTCTCCTAGAAATATGTGTGACCTGGTTTAGGGTCTTCTCTCCTTGCATGATGCTAGGGATACTCTTCCAGGCTTTGGCACTGATTCCAAAGGTGACCAACTCTTCTAAGACAGTTTTAGAGCCTAATTTTAAAACTAATACATTGCAGGGATAGCGATTTATCTCAGTGGTGTCGCCACCTAAGGTCCCGAGTTTGATCCCTAGTACCAAAAAAAAAAACCAGAACAAAACAAAAAACTAATACATTTCAAGTTACTGAATGACTTAGATATCAGCTACAAACCTTCACAGCTGAATCAAAATGCAATGCAACTACTGTCATTATGATCTCATGGGGGCAGGAGATTTAGCTCAGTGGCACCATGCCTGCCTGGCAAGCACAAGGTCCTGAGGAGTTCGATCCCCAGGATCACAAAAACCAAACAAAACATCATATTAAGAATATATCTTGTGATCCATATACTAATTGATAGAACACAAGCACCATACAATAAAAACTGTTACTTTTCTTGGTACCAGGAATTGAACTCCGGACCTTGTGCTTTCGGGTCAGGTGGCAGAACAATAAAAACTTTACTTTATTCCCTAATGTATCCCCAGCACAAGAGGTGTTTAATATTAGCTGAATGAAAGAGGTACGAAAGAGATTTACTACTGATTATGTCACGGGTATCAATAATTGAACGCTTCCTACAATATGTTTACATATTGTACAAGGTGCTACTATAAATTCTCTCTAATCCTCATAACACTACAGTCTAAGCAGAAGACTCAGAGGACTTAAAAGACTTGTACAAAACCTCACAGTTACCAAGGATTTAGCTCAGGGGTGCTGCAGCCTGCCTTGAAAGGTCCCAAGGACCCAAGGACCCAAGTTCAATCCCGGGTACCAAACAACCAACCAACCAAAACAACAAAACTTCACAGTTAAAACTGGTAGTGGGCTGGGGATGTAACTTAGTGGCACTGCACCTGCCTTGCAAGCTCAAGGTCTTGAGTTCAATTCCAGGTACCAAAAAAACAAAAGCAAAACAAAACTGGTAGGTAAGAGCTGGGTGTGGTGGCTGACGCTCACCTGTAATTCCAGCTCTGAAGCTGAGGCAGGAGGATCACTGTGAGTTTTAGACCAGCCTGGGCTACTTAGTGAGTTCCAGGTCAGTCTCAACTACATAGTGAGGGCCTGTCTCAAAAACAAACTAACAAAAAACTGGTAGATAAAACTAGGAAGCAGAGCAGCACTGGGTGCTAAAACACTAAATAACTTTATGAAAAAAGCAAACTTTAACCCTTACCTCATACCACATTAAAAAAATAAATTGAAATGGAGCATATGATTACATGTAAGAATTCTAATTACAGGTCTTTAAAAAAAACAGGGAAATTTTTGTGCATAGGGTGAGGCAAAAATTTCTTAGATATGAAACAGAGAAGAAAAAAAATGATTAAATATAACTCATCAAAATTCAAAACTCCTGCTGCCTTTGGTTAAGAAAACCAAGTATTTGCAAAACACATCCCTAAAAAGGGCTTTATCCAGAATATATAAAGAACTCTCATGGCTCAATAATAAAAAGACAAAAAAAAAAAAAAAACCTACTGAAAATAGGCAAATACTTTACCAAAAGAAGATATACAGATGGCAAATAAAGACACAAAAAGATGCTCAGCTTTACATTATTAGGAAAGTGCAAATAAAAACCAAAACGAAAAGAACCTCTCAATGGGTTACAATACAACTACAATGATTGAAAAGAAAAAAGGATGATAACACTAGCATGGAAGATGTAGAAAGCACTCGATACATACATTGTTGAATGGAATGCAAATGGTACAGTCACTTTGTAAAAAAGCTTGGCGGCTTATAAGGTTAAATACACACATCTTAGAAGCTAAGAACACACAACTAGAGTTAACCAAGAAATGAAAAGATGTCCAAAGACTTGTACACAAGTTTAGAGCACTTGTGTGTATATGTATGTCTACACACACACACACACACACACACACACACACACACACACACACATATATTTTTTGA